TGCTGGACATAGTGTGTCTCCGAATATCTTAATTCCCTTCTCCCTCAGGACATCCCATAGGATATGAGTCCAGAACCCCAATCAGGCCTCTCTCACAGGTTGGCTGGCAGGTCAGCAGGTGCAGGGATACCTAAGCCCCGCCACTCGGCAGACGGCATGGTCTTGGGAAGTGACTCGGCCTGTCTGAGCCTCTGCTCTGCTCAGTGTTGTTCTGAAGATGGAATGGGGAACAGCTAACACTGAGCCAGGATGAAGAATATCTGAGTTTTAGAAAAAGCAACGCCCTTTACCTCTCCCACCCCTCCCAGCACTCAAGACTTTGTTTCTCAGGGGTTGGGGGTTGGGGCAAAGCAAAAAGGGGAGATCAGAAGCCCCAGAATTAGGAGGGATGAGAATAAGTTTGGCCCAGGCTGGGAGATGGTCAAGGCCCTCCCAGGAGGTCCGCCAGGTAGGCTGGTGTTCTGAGTTCTTTGGCTAATTAAGGCTAGTCAGTAATACTCAGCTTTTGACCAGATGTATTTCCCTGGTCCTGGGTTCAAAGGCACCTGGGACAGACTGGCCAATAGTGGAGAGAGGTGTAAGTGATGAAGATCAGTGGCCACCGCAGCTGAAGCCACCAGAGGCACCTGAGCAGGATGACAACCCGGCCCTGAGACCCCAGCGGCTTATCAGGGCTGGGAGGACAGGTACAGAGCCTCCTCCCTGTGCTTCTGGCCCGGCTGTCCAGTTCCAGCTCCAGGCACCCTGCACGGCACTGCCTGATCTGCAGGTGACTGTGAGGGAACAAGACGCAAAGAATCAGGGATCCCTGGCAGACACAGGACGGCAAGACCAGCGAGCTTGCCCTGCTGGTGCACCTGCCATGTGACTGCCCTCCCCCTCAACCCCACTGACAGCAGGGGCTGCTGTGTTCAGCTGCCCTCAAGGCCAGTCACTGATTGGATTTTTTTTTGAGGCAGGATCTCCCTCTGTTGCAAGCTGGAGTGCAGTGGTGTGATCACAGTTCAATGCAGCCTCGACCTCCTGAGCTCATGTGATCCCCCTGTCTCAGCCTCCCAAGTAGCTGCGACTACAAATGTGCCACAACATCCAGCTACCTTTTACATTTTTTTGTAGGGATGGGGTCTCACTATGTTGCCCAGGCCTTGGGCAGATCTTGAACTCCTGGGCTTGAATAACTCTCCCTCCTCAGGCACACCCCCCCCAGTGCTGGGATTACAGGCATGAACCTCTGCATCTGGCCCTGACAGTTTCTTCATCTGTAAAATAGCTACAAATGATCTTGTCCTAACTCTAACCCCTAGGACTGCCATACAAGCCTTCTGAGATCAATGCTAAGCAGTGTGACGGGAAAGAAGAGAATGAGCCGGTCACTTTCCCTTATGCCAACTCTTTAAACTCCAATCACAGCCACCCTAAAAGGCAAACAGTATTCTTGTCCCACCTTACAAGTGAGTATGCTAAGATTCAAAAAGGGTAAGTCACTTGCCTGAGGTCACACAGCTGGCAAGTGACAAAGCCAGGCTAGGACCCCGGTCTGTGGACTCCAGGCCTGGGCTTTTCACCTCCAAAATGCCTTCAGATTGTGCTCACAGCTTGGGCGAAACTTCCCGAAAGTGAGGGACTCTTCTCATTACCATTGTTATTTTCTAAAGCCCAAGGCAGAAAAGGGGGCTGTCAGGAGACGGTCTCCCTTTCCTCTCTGCCTCTCTGTCCCCAGCCTGCTCACTTCTGCAGTCTCAGACAATCAGAATTCCGGCCGTCTGGGAGAACCAACCTAAGAAAGCATGAAATTAATCTCCTCAAAGTTAACGTCTTGGAGGCGTCGCGTCAGTATTTGGATTGGACGCGTCACCTTGTTATCGTAAGGCAGATGAGCCCCGCATTTAATAAGGCTAAGACAACTCGGGCAACGTCAGAAACATAACAGGATATTGCAAAGAGATTAGGGAGCTTCCTCTGGGCAGTGTGGATGGGCCGTGCAGAGGGCAGGGGGAGGGGGACGGCTGGGGCGGTCTACCCCAGGGGCCCGCGAGTCCGCAGCCCGGGCCTGGCCCGCGGACTGGACACCCGGGCCGAGGGGAGCCGGGTTCCACGCGGCACAGCGAGGTCTGCCTGGTGCCGGAGCAGAGGCTCCACGGGCTAAATTTAAACCAGCTGCGAGAACGGAGCCTACAGTTGGATGGGGTGGGGGGAGGCTTACCTCATGAAAGAACTGTGGAAACGGCTGCTGGAAAGATAATAAAAGGATTAACTGCTATTTTAGTGGGCCATTTACTCTTCAATCAAAGTGTCTCATCTATTTCCTGTTCTCCAGAGGCTCTGGGCCCAAAATTCCTTTGTCTATTACAGTGCATGGTAGCAGAGGCCTGTCATGAGAAATTAATAATTTTACAGGGAAGGGAGATTTTATTTATCTGGGTGCGGGTGGGGGCCCGCCCCTTCCCCTGGGTTACCCACTGCGCCAGCATCACGGGGAAGGGGGAACACTCCCTCCCTCCCAGTGGGCAGGAGGGGCTCGGAGGAGGCATGAGGAGGCCTCCGACGCCCAGATCACAGCTGCTGTCCCCAGATGGTGGCACCCAGCAGGGCTGGCCTGCAACCCCAGAGAATGATCAGTGCAGCAGAAGATCTACCCAAGCAAGAGCATCACACTTTAGAAAGATGGAAGTTCAAATTCCACTTCAAGGTTTACTAGCTGTGTAACCTCAGGCAAGTTATTTTTGTTATTGTCTCCGTCTTTACCATTATGATTCTCCGTCTCTCTTATGACTGTTGCTGCTGTTATTATTTGCCTCCAACTAGCCGTGTGACCTGGGGCAAATAAATTATGCCATCTTTCTGAGCCTCGGTTTCCTCATCTGTAAAATGGGGGTTAACAGTATCTACCCCGCAGGGTTGTGTTGAGGACCACATGAAGTTATCACTTAGAACAGCACCTGTGCACAGTCAGCACTCAGAAGCTGCTTGCTGGTATTACCATCACCACAATCCTAAACTCCCAAAGAGGCGAGACCATGCGTTCGCACAGGAACAGGGGGAAGGCCAGTACCACCCCACTGAACCTTTGCTTCTTCACCTGGTTTTACAGGACTGGTAAAGATTAAATGCAACCATAAGTGAAGGTGTACTTGGCTCAGCCCTCACCTCCTCCGTGAAGCCCTTCAGGGCTCCCCTCCCTATGCAAACTCCACTCCAAGACCTGTCACTGATCTCTCACCCATTCCTAAGCATAAATGCCCCTAGGGTAAGGACTGTGGCAGGCCTAGGTCTGGGACCCCAGGGCCAAGCAGGCACAACTCAGGTGTACGCCCATGGAGTCTGTGGAATCCAATGAGATCCTGGCAGGAGGCCCAGGAAAGATTCTGAGGCTGCACTGAATAACTCCGGCCCCTCTGACCCCTCCAAGCTGGAAAATGGGCAGGAAGGCCTAAATCCTCCCCAAGTCCCTGAGGTCCAACACGGTTACCCCTGGATGCCATGATTCCATCCAGAGGGCTTGGCTGTGAGAAGGCCACTGACCACACCACAGCAAAGTTCCTTCCGGTCATGGAGCCTCCTCTTATGCCCCACAGATGCCCGTGGTCACCCACAGGAGAGAAGACAGTTCAGCAGCTGTCAGTTCCAGGGCCTCAGGGAAATATGGGGCCCATCAGTCCTCCTGGCCTGCAGGCTCTGTCCCTTAGTCATCTCCTTCCAGGTCGGGACACGTGAGACAGACCCCAAACAAACTAGGGCATCCCCGGGGACAGGCCTAGCCACCAGCCCTCCCTCCAGCATCCTTTCGGCTCAAAAGCACACAATAAAGGTAAGCTGACAGCCTGCTAGAGGCAGCCTCTCCCCATCGCCCCTCACACGCCAGGACATCGACCTCAAGTCCCCTCCTGCCTCACCTCAGCACAGGCCTTCATCAATGCCCACTTGTCTACAAAACGAGCTCCTCCTTCAAGCCCCAGCCTCCTCAATGCTGCAAACACTGACCCCACTGGATGCCTGGCTCCCAGCTCCACAGGTGGGCGGGCCCAGGGCGAGCACAATGCTCTGGGGGACAGAGCTCATGCTGCTGGCTGCCAACACATCCTGCCTCCCTGGCCCCTACAGTGTCACACTGGGCTCTGAGCAGGGACACTGCAACCCTTCCCTGACTGAACACGAGGGACGCCCAGCGACGGCGTCAGAATGCAAGTATGGGCAAGTACGGATAAGCATGACCTTGGCTGCAACACTGGCCCCTGCAGACCAGACTCACTGCGCCCCACAGCTGGGTGCCCTGGTGGCCTCTGCTTCTCATCATGCAAGCACCCCAAGGCCCATCCCTGAAGCCCCAAGCAGGCGTCACTCCTGGTGGCCAGTTGGACCCGGGCGGTAGGTACGGCAGTTAGGTTGAGGATATCAGGGAGTGAGACCGTTCTCCCCAGCCTCTGACACAGATTTATCCCACAGCAGGAGCAGAACACAGACGTGAGCAGTCAGAAGGGCCAGAGGCCCAGTTGCCCACAGTTGTGTGCATGTGTGCACGTGCATACTCATGCCTGTCTCTTCCCAGAACCCCAAATCTCCACTCCAGCCACCACGCTGTAGGTGCCTCAGCTACTCACCCCTGGCCTTACTCCAAAACCTGCCCTGGGGACCTCGGCTCTCCCAGAAGGCTCAGGGAGCCTCCCTGGGAAGGAGGCCGGGTGAGGCTCGGGCACGGTCTCCAGTCTCATCTGGTCACCAGCAGGCAGGACATGGAGCATGTGTGTGCATGGCACCAGGCCCGATGGCACGTCTGATGCCTCGAGGTGGGAAACGGGGCATCAGGCAGGTACAAGGGGCTCCTCTGCTAAGGTTCTGGTGACAGGGGCACTGACTGTCCTGACCAGGGGCCACAACCATGGCATCAGTCCTTTCCTCCCCCACCACAGGGACCTGAGCCAGCCCTGGGGAAGGGGTCCAGGGCACCTTTCTGGGGCAGCGAGGCCGGGCCTGCCCCACCGCCGGGCGGGGTGGGAACTCACCATGCACTTGTTGGGCTTCTCGCCCGAGTGCACCCTCATGTGGATGAGCAGCTTGTAGCGGGCGTTGAAGGGCTTGTAGCGGCGCACGCAGCCGGCCCAGAAGCAGGTGAAGTCCTCGCCCTTGCGCTGGTCGATGTGGCTCTTCTCAATGTGCCGCACCAGCTCCTCTTGCTGCTCGTAGGCCGCGCAGCAGTCCACCCAACGGCAGGCCT